TAAAAAGGGGGCTGCATCACATGGGTGGAGACAACGCATGCTAAAATGCTGCATTTGCCTTCACACTGGAAATCAGTCTGTGGCCTCCGGTGCTGTCTTCAGCCTCTGAAAGCACTCTGCAGACAGCTCCGGCTTGCCACTGCACCCCAGTTACATCCTTCAGTGAGCTCTGCAATTGAAGCTGTCCTCCTTGAGACCCTGGCCTTCCCCTGGCTGGGTCTGAGCTAAAGGACTTGCAGGGACAGTTCCTGGGAGAAGCACACAGACAGTGTAGACTGGAAGGTAGGGAACCCCCCCACCTCAGACCTCCCCACCCACGATGGGCCACCTCACCCTTTCAAAAAGCCACCGGAGCACATGTTTGAGAAAAGTTAAGCTGTTTTATTTCACAGGATAGCTCCACATCAAACCAGCAGGCACCATCAGAATATGCGACAGAGGATCCAATCAGACACTCTATAGGACGGGCGTTTGGTTGTAAGGTAGAGAAACGACATCCGCAAGAGGGCAGCACTTCTCATCACGTGGGGACAGGCAACCAGCAATTTCCGAGGGTGGTTTTGTTGTGTGTGTGTGTGTGTGTGTGTGTGTGTGTGTGTGGTTTATTATTTTTTTTCCTGACACAGTTTGGGGAGGAGGGAAACCAAAGGAAACAAAACAGACCAGCCACTCTGAAGCAATCAGAACCAAACCTATTGCCAAACCGTGTAAACAGTCACACTGCCGGGAACTAGAGCATGAGCAGAAACTCTAGCAGAATCTTCCGTCTAAGGAAGGCAAAGTGCATTCTGGTTGTTCTAGTTCAAGAAACAGCTTTGTTATTTGCTTGGAACAGTTCACACAGAAAGGAGGTGTCAACAAGGGGCAGCGTTGGCCATTCGGCCAGTCCCAGAGGATGGGACAGCGGGACACTGGCAGATCGACCTCAGAGAGGTCAGGAGCACTCCGACCTGACAGCCAAGTCCCTTCTCTCAGCTCCCCTGGGCAGCTTTGGGTATGTGGGGAATTCTCTACATGGCTGCTCAGGAGAGAGGAGACCCCAGAGAACCGGGGAAGTTGACATGAAACGTCAGCATTAGCTCTGCATAGCAGAAAATCAGCTAAGCAATACCTCGGCTCACCCCTTCCTGCCTTTTCCTCCCCGCAATTCCCCCAAGCCCAACAGGGCCCCCACCATGGTTATGAGCCAGCCACTCTCTTTCTGAGTTTCTCAGGAGAACGAGGCATTTGCTCTAGTGTGGAACCATCTGGATGTGTGAAAAGTTAGGAATAGAAAGACCGAGAGGAAGAACCATTACATTAGTCCTATGGTTTTCTATCAGCTGCGGACGTGCGCTGTGCCAAGTAATGACCAGGTCACAGGAAGTCCTCTGCATTCGTGCCTCCTGAATGAGAAAGAAATACACCCAACAAGGCACTCCAAGGGCCTCCGACAGAGAAGCCAGCCCCACGCCAAGGCCCTTCCCACACTGGCTCCCTCTGTGCCACACACCAGTTCTGAAGGGTTTATAAGGCAGGTCTCTGAACTGCTGGCTCCAGCCAGTGGCCCAAGGATGGCATCCTCTCCCCGTGTCTCTCCACTCGGGTTTCTTCATTGGAGAGAAACCTTTTATCCCTTGGAAATGCATTTCTCTCTTGCCCCTTGGCCTGGTGACCTCAGAGGACAGACTCCCAAGTCTAATGCCCAAGCTCACGAGTCCCTCCCATCGTGCGCTCTGTCCGGGTTCAAAGGCGCTTCAAGGTGAGAAGTCGTTAGCACTGAAAACAAGGAAAGGCAAAGATTTTTCATAGAATCCCACAGCTCAGAGCAGCTCTTTAAGAGGAATGGGGAAGAGAGGGAGAGAGGGAGAGTGGGGTAGGAAGCACAGCTTGTTCTCAATTTTATCCAAGAAAGGTCTTCAGCGGCAGCCGGGCCCCAAGGCCCAGGAAACTAGACCAGGAAGGAATTGTCTTTGGTCAGTTGTAAATGAACATCTTGCTGGTTCATTCCTAAAATAGACTGAACATCGGTTACATATAATGACAAAAGGCTTGACCTCAGGGTAAGTCGAAGGTTAAGAAAAGAAATCATTTTGTGAAGCAAAAAAAAAAAAAAAAAAATGCCCGTTATCGACGAACTGATCAGCACAGCTTTCGGTGATGGCGATGAACGAGTAGGTATACACCACTTCCCCTGTACAACTGGTTATATTGAGGACTACGAACTAGGTTACTACATCTCCTCCACACTCACTGTACAGTTAGGTTTCCGGTATTTGTTTTTTACATTGAACTATCTACTAGGTGCAAAGATTTGGTGAGTGGCATTGGCTATAATTTAATTGTTGCCTTTTTAAAAAATTACAATTTCACATTTTAACAGTTACTTTCCAGCATTTAAGCAAATACAGCAATATATAGTGGACTAACACAGGCAGGAGTCAGGAAGAGAATGCCAATGCTCGGTGACCGTGGGTGGGGCTAGGTGTCTGTGGAGGGGACCAGACATGCAGAGTGTCAGATGAGGGAGGGTGGGGGAGGGGCAGGAAAGTATTTTTCCATTTGGTTCTGGGTCAAGGCTCAGATTTGGGGCTGGATGAGTGAGGTGTGAGCGTCTCTAAATGTGAACTCATCAGCCTTTTTCCAATGGAAAAACAGGTGTTTAAGAAAATAGCTACAGTTCTGCCTTCAGGTGATTTGGTAAAAGGCAGGTCCATTTTCAGGAAAGAAAAATGAAGTTAGTCAGTTCAGAGGAAAAGCTACATGGTCTGAATGGTGTTATCCGGCAACAGGTCTGTCAACTCAAAGTTTCTTTTCATCTGGTGGTCATGGCAGAGAATGTTACATTTTGCCCAGGAGGATCCTACATTTAAGGTGCGGGGGTATCTGTGGGGTAGAAACGGGATGCCCTGGACCTTGGCTGGACAGCATAGCATCCTTGAAATAAGTGACTTTCTGAGCCTGACACGGCCCAGCTATCAGACATCTATTCAATCTTGGGCAAGTCACAGCATATCCCAAGGCTTTGCTCTCTTTCCTAAGCTATAAAACGGGGCTGTCTCCATACTGCTCACAAAAGCAGAGGGCTCTAGCTGGCTCTGAGGTGCTTCCACTTCCAGGAGCTGCAAGAGCACGGTTCGTTCTAGGCACAACAAGGAAGGTTGAGTTGGCCACTTGCCTTTTCCTGGCGTGCTCTCTTTGCACCCCTTCTTGCTTCGTCCTCCCACTGAGAGCTCTGTGTCAGGCCTCAGGGGGGCAGGCTTACCACGCCCACACCCGCGTGTTAGTGGCTTATCCCTCCCTCTGGGGGTCTAGTCACTTTTATGGAAGACCAGAGGACAAGGCAAAATTCATCCAATGGGGTGAAATGCTATTGATGGAATGTCAAGCATCAACAGGTCATATATCTGTAGGGCTGTGCTTTGGGGATCTTATGAAACTGGTAGGAAAATTCCACTGCCTACTTCTCAAATGCCATTAGCAGATTTCCAAGGGAAGGTCTTGGAGGGTTTCTGAGCTAAGACTTACCTTACTAATGACAATGAAAAGAGTAATCGTGTTGGCACAGTGCTTTCTAGTTTAAACAGCTTACTCACGTATTTATCTTTATTATCTTCATTTTATGGAGCAGGAAACTGAGGCTCAGTGAGGTGCCAGGACATGCCCAGAGTCCCACAGCTCCCAAGTGGTGGGGGCTGGGACTCAAACACAGGACTTTTGACTCCAAACCACAGCCATGGACACACTCAGAGGCCTTGAGAAAGAGAAGGAGATGAAGCTTGAGAATAGGGAGGGAACCCTTGGCTTGGCATGAGGGTGGCGGTTAAGAGAGCTCCCAATAGAATCTCATTCGCCTGGGTCCCATGATCCAGAAACAGCCATCTCTGGAAAAGGAAGCGATCCAAAGAGGAAGTAAAACAGACTCGGACGAGGGTGACCCAGAAGGCCTTTTCCCAGCCAGGAGGTAAAAGCCTGGCTCACACTAGGTGAGGATCACACCCCAGTGCCTTCACTTTCAATGACTTTAGATGCTCTGGAGGAGGGGGGTGGAAGGGAGAGGGAGGGAAGCTATTTCACTTGCATAAACTCCACGGAAGCATTCTCTAGGACAGGAAGTGCCAAGGATCGCCCCTCCTGGGCCCTGGTCTGAGCGGGGCACTCCTGGCTCATGCGCTTCGTGCAGGAGGGCACCAGCCGAAGTGCATCATGGCCTGATTTGGAAACGATGTGACTCAAACCTCCTGGCCTGTTTAGTTCCACATCTGACACAGTATAATTAGTAGAAATAGGAAAAGAAAAGAAATTAAATATTTTGAAAACTGTATAAGTTAAACCTCTATAGTTACCAGAGTTATTCCTACAGCGTTTCTAGGTGTTGAAGTATTCCACGCCATGGTGGTTTTATTTTTTTTCCCTTTTTCCCAACCACACATAATACTGTGCTACAGTGGGGCTTAGGTTCTCACTATCCCCTTTTCTACGTACAAACACAAGGATGCTGTGGTCAGGGGTCTTTCCGCCAACGCCCTCCCGTGCCTACGGGGGTACAGTTGGCCCTTGGCCTTCAGGTGGAAAGGCAGGGTCTCTGGGGGTGGACAGGGGTGTTCCCCACCTCTAGGAGCAGCCTGCTTGGGGTACTGCCTGCCCCACCCTTCATTTAGGGGCAGACTGTTCTGGAAGGCCACGACTTCTGGAGACAGTGGGAGACTGTGTTTGTTTTTCTGCAGGTTAGTGGTATATTGCTTCATTCGCAGTTACTGTGGGCCTCTAAATTCTCCCAGAAAAGTCCCTGCAAATCCCACCAAATAATAGCGGGACATGTTTGGTGGCATGGGTCTGAGGTAAATCTAAGTTTCATAAAAAGAAAAAGGAGATCCTATATACACTTAGTATGTGTCCAGATCTAGTATATGTATATAGATGCATAAATATATATATATACACACACCTACAAACACACACATACATACTTATGTGTATATATGCACACATATATATACACACATATTTATGTATGCAGAGAGAACGTTGAGAATCATTTTCCAGTGATGATATGCGGGCGAAGCCAGTTAACATGTTGCCGCAATCAAAGGACACGCCTAGCTGCGGCTGCTCCTGCTCTCCTCCGGGCTCTGCTTAGACCCGCGAGGCCGGGGTGCGGGCTGGCCGGGGCCTCAGCTCTGCACAGACATTCTTTCAGGCTGACCTTCTGGCCCCTGACGGACAAGGCCAGGAGCACTGGGAAGGACGCGGAAGTCACAGAGGCACCCTTGGCCGTGGTGGGCCACAGTGGGCTAGGCAGTGCCGCCCATCCTGTTGGTCACATGGTGCCTGACTTGTCCGCTGAGCTGTTGGGGAACATCTTCTCGGTGGGCGTCACGGCGGGGCTGCCCACACCTGAGCTGCTGCTGCTGCTGGACCGATGCTGGACCACGGGCCTCACGGGCCGCATGGGGGGCGGACGCAGCTGGGCGCCGGCCAGACGGGCAGACAGGGCTGGCTTGAAGGTGGTCATCATCTCGGTGGAGGAGCTGCTGCTGCGGCGCATGGCGGCGTCGGGGTCGCGGATGACGATGGTGTGCAGAGGGCTGGCGGGCTCCGAGCTGATGGGGCCCGGCGGGTTCTTCAGGGGCTCCAGGGTGTCCAGCACCACATCTGGCGCCTGCTTGACTGTGTTCTGCCTCTCGAGTTCCCGCAACTCGTGCAGAGCCGTGCTCATGGTCTTCTCTATGTCCTGGGGACAGAGAGAGCTCTGGTCAGCATCGAGTCTGGAGGCCTGGGGTCCAGTCCTTCCTCGGAGCTCGTGGGCTTCCGAGGGAGGTTTCCCCAGGGGCCGGATGGCTGGGAGGGAGATTGAATCCCCAGGGTGCCATCAGTTGGGCAAACCCACGTGGTTGTGGCCTCCACACTGCCTCAATAGGAAGCTGACTTCATGAGGGCAAGTCAGAACTACGTTAGAAAAGGCAAGCTCTGGAGTCAGAAACGGGTTCAAATTCTGACTCCGCCACTTCCTTACTGCATGACTGGGGCAAGTGACCTCACCTCTCTGAGCTTCAGGTGACAGGTCAGAATACAGACCTCACGAGCTTGATGAGTGTATTAAAGGATACAGTCCGTGAAGAGCATGGCATGACCACTGGCACACAGTAGGCACTCACAACTCATGGAGAGCACAGCGGTAGGATGTGCTACACTGAGTGCCAAGCCAAGCCCTCCCCTGAATCATTCATTCATTCCCCGCACTTATACCGCAGGAACTACCACTGAGCTCAGTCCACACATGAGGAGATGGAGGTCCAGCTGGTAAAGTAACTTGCCCAAGGCCACACAGCAACTTAGTAGCACAGTCTGAGTCTCAGCCGGGGCAGTCTGTCTCCAAAGTCCACACCATTAACCACTATTATCCTTTTTCAAAATCTTTTCCCATGGAAAAATTTTTGGAGGTTATATATTAGAATGTTCACCCTAAAATAATGGGACTGTTTCTTTTTTCTCTGTGTGGTAATCAGAAAATTTTGATTTTTAAAAATGAAAGTCATAAAGCAACAAAAATCCTTATCTGTCAATGTAATTCCTGGGGAAGTTTTAATATTTAAGCTCATGAAGAGAGAGGGATTATGACTGGCTCAGGACCTCCTAGTGAGCAGAGGGGCTCTTGGTCAGTCTGGCTCTCATCTTTCCTTCCCAAGACCTCTGTTCCCCCTCCAGCCAGGAGAGGGCGCTGGAGCTGGAAATCAGCAATTAACCTAGAAGCCTGGGCTAAGGTTTAGGGCTGGGACTTTTGAGTGAAGGCTCCTCTGCTGCTGGCGCTCTTTGTCACTCAGCACCACACTTAGTTCATCTGTTGAAAGGCCACAAGTTTACTGGGAAGGTGGAATGAGGTGATGAATGTGAAGAAGCTTTGTAAACTGCCAGACAGTGGTTTTTAAAGTCCTTTTAGCCAGAGTCCTTGGTTCACATAGGGGTTTACAGGGACACCTCCACATCAAATAGTAAGAGGAGCTGCTCAGGCTGAACCGGGCCAGAGTCCCACGGGCTTGGCCATGGAGGGGAAAATCAGGGATACTGGCTGAAACCACTGTTGGTAGGTCTGTGCACAGCCTCAGTGACAATGACTAGTAAGACACACTGCTTTTCTGCCCTGGGGCAAATCTGGAAAATCTACAAGTCTGGTCATACTGATGGGGTTGGAGCCTGGAGATGTCCTGAATGGCCCTCTCCATACCCACTTTTTTTTTTTAATCCTCACCCGAGAATATTTTTCCATTTATCTTAAGATACAGTATGAGGGAGAGAGAGAGAGAAACATCAATGTGAAAGAGACACATCGATTGGTTGCCTCTAGCTGATCGTGACCTGGGCCGGTGACCAAACTGCAACAGAGGCACATGCCCTTGACCAGAATCTAACCCACAACTCTGGTCCGCTGGCTGACGCTCTAACCGCTGAGCCAAACCAGCCAGGGCCATACCCACATCTTTTAGCTCCTCTTCTTCTCTTAGCAGGTGGCCTAATGCCTGTAACAGGCCCCCATGACAGGCTCCAATCTGGCCACAGTCAAGGTCCCGGCCTATCTTTTTTGCTCCTTTGAGACTATTGATAATTATCTAATGGCTAATTAGGTAATATTAACAAAAAGCTAATATTAGCTTCTATGCTTCCCCATGACATTTTACCCTTTGCCCCATAATACTGGCTTCTATAAGAAGGGCCCTTTGGGACCTGGCTGGTTTGGCTCAGCGGTTAGAGCATCGGCATGTGGACCAAAGAGACCTGGGATCAGTTCCTGTTAAGGGCGTGTATCTCGGTTGCAGTTTGTCCCCGGCCCCGGCTGGGGTTGTGTAGGTGGCAACTAGTCGATGTGTCTCTCTCACATCGATGTTTATCTCTCTTCCTCCCTCTCTCCCTCTTGCTTTATCTGAAGATAAATGCAAAATTGTCCTTGGGTAAGGATAAAAAAAAAAGAAGGGCCCTTTTTGCCTTTTTCCAAAAGGGTCAACTGGGAGGGATTTTCTGCATGATGGGAGAGGTGGCAGTCATCTCCCATCTCTGCTATCTCCCAACCCTGCAGTGAAAGAGCCGTCCAACACCCCACTCTGCTTACATGGGCTCCTCTATTGACACCACTACTCTTTGTTCACTCTACTGCAGTGTGAGCTGAAAGGTAAAACTTTAATAAATAAAATTCAGTGACTGCCCCTCCCCCACCATCCCTCCCACCACCATGGCAGAGTGTGAGCCAGAAAGACAGAAAACTCAGAGAAAGATTAGCTGAGGGGTTTAGGCAGGAGCCTGGCATTAGTCAGAGTGAGGCCATGATCTCCAGAGTGGAGCTGCAGGGAGGTGCAGGGGGTGACAGACCGGGGAAAGTGAGCCTCCTCCCGAATTACATCGCCCCACTTTGGATGGCAGTGTGACAGCTTTCCCACACAGACTCTTCCCTGGGTGCAAATCTCAGTCCTAAAGGATATTTAGAGACCAGAGAATTTCAGGTAACTCCATCAACTACTTGGTATTTCCCCGCCACAGCTCCTCGTTGTAGCCTTGGAAGTCGGCACCAGTGCTGAGCGGGCTGGGGCCAACCAGCATCCCCTTCGGGCTATTTACATATGATCTGCCACACTTTCCTGTTTCACCTCTGTCCAAGAAGGGAGCCCTCGAATGGCAGCTAGCAAACTGGAGTGTGTGCAGATGCGGTTGTGAGTGGAGGAGAATGCATACAGCAGTCCCCAAGTGTACTCTTTAGGCTGGTCTTGTGAATAAAGCTCAAAGAAATCTGGGTGATGGGTGTGCCCTGTTCTTTTTCTTGGAGATTCACCATGCACATCAACATACTTAAAGTTTCTTAAAAGTCTTGCAGACAAGCCATTTAATTTTGTCAGACAGTATTCCCCAAATTTTGTTGACCACAGAACACATTTCCCCCCATTAAAATCCTGTGAACTAGTCTGCTGCGGGAGCTACTTTTGGAAACACTAGCCTAGAATGCATTTGATTCTTTAGGTAAAGGGCCCTAGGCCAGGCCTCAGGGAGTCCAATCCCCATCATGGCTCTTGGTAGAGCTTAAGGTGATGGTGGATGCTAGGGTGATACTCCCCAAGAGGACAGTCTTCAAGAATGGAAGGACTGCCCTGGACGGTGTGGCTCAGTGGATAGAGCATTGGCCTGTGTACCAAAGGGTCACGGGTTCAATTCCTGGTCAAGGCCATGCACCTGGGTTGCAGGTTCAATCCCCATCCTCGGTCAGGGCATGTGCAAGAGACAACCAATCGATGTGTCTCTCTCACATCCATGTTCCCCCCTCCTCCCCCACCGCCTTCCACTGTCTCTAAAAATCAATGGAAAAAATATCCTTGGGTGAGGATTACATATAAGTAACTAAAAACAAATAAAAGAATGGAAGGACCAGCGGGTCCTCCTCTGCAGACCATGCCAAGGTGCTGATCTTCAGGTATCCCTCGGGAGTGGGCCTCAGGACCTGGGGCCAAGCTAGACCCTGTGGGTGTGAACAGGAATTCTAGTTGCTGGGAGTTTTCTGTGTTGGGTTCTCCCCGGAACCTCTCCTGGCCTCCTCTAGAACACAGCCCCCAAACCCACAACTTTCTCCCTCCACTTGTACCAGGGATTCAAATGCCACCCTATAAAGAACAATTCTCACAGCAAGAAGGTTCTAGTTGTATCTCTTACCTTAAGTGAGAGATAACATGGGGGGGGGGGTACATAATGGGCATCCACCCCAAATTCCAGTGATAAAAAAATGAACACTTTTAGAAATATGATAGAACTGTCAAAAACACATGAAACCAGGTGTGAAAATAAATTTTTTTTTTTTTTAGTCCTCACCTGGGGATATTTTTCCACTGATTTCTAGATAGAATGGAAGGCAGGGAGGGAGAGAGAAAAACATCAATGTGGGAGAGACACATCGATTGGTTGCCTCCCACATGACCCCGACCAGGGCTGGGAATCAAACCTGCAACCCTTGTACATGCCCTTGGCCAGGAATCAAACCCGCGACCCCTCTATCTGCAGGCTGATGCTGTAACCACTGAGCTAAACCAGCTAGGGCAAGGTGTGCAAATTATTAAACAACATAAACAAATTGTTTCTTAAACAAATTTGTTTTTTTTGGGGGGGGGGGGTAAATATTAAAACCACACAGCTTTCTCCTCCAAAGTTTTAAAAATTTAAGAAACAACTGTCAGTACTTTGGAAGAGCCTGAAACATTCTTTCCTTCCAACTTCAGCTATTTATTCCACCTATCCTTTGTATCTCAGGTCGTAGCACCCCACTCCCAGGGAAGTGTCTACCCCCTAGGAGCAATCCCCACATTCTAGGCTCTCAAAAGACCACGTAGCACTCTTTCAAACACCTGACCCAACCAGCATTTCACAGCTGTGTTATGGTTGATGTCTCTCTCCCCTCTAAATTATAAACTCCAGATGGGCAGGGCCTGCGTCCATTTTAGGTCATCAATTGTACTCTCAGTGCCTAGCACAGTGACTGTCGCACAACAGGTGCTCAGTCAATATTTGTCAATGAATAAAATGAATGAACAGATGAATGAATGGACGGACGGATGGATGGATGAGAGTAACTCAGTTATGCCATCTTGTGGAGACACCGGTCATTACTACACCTCCATCTGGCCTCTCCCTCAGACAGGAATCCCCCTCCTGCCCTGCAAACTGGGGTGGGGGTGGGGTCTTCAGCCTTCACAGGCTCCCTCGCCAGCAGCCGCACCCGTCCAGCTTCCACTCCCGCGGGAGGCCAGCAGGCAGACAGGAGGCCCGCTTCCTATCTTGTGTTCTGGCTTAGCCTTGAGGCAGGGCAAAAGGGGCAAAGTGCCTCCCCAGTCCACAGTCCCCACCCTGCTGTCCCTCCGGGGGTCTCCACTGGCCCTTACTTCTGCCAGGGCCTCGGCCTCCAGGGACTTGTGGTCCCCCAGGCTGCTGTGCCTGGTGGAGCCGCACGTCGACCTCATGGAGTGCCCTTCGGAGAGCGCCTTCTTGTCAGGGTAGTTGATGCTGCCAGCGCTCCCGAACGTCGCCATCCTCCGCTTCTCCGGGCTCTCGATCCTGCCCCGGCTGAGTGGTATTTTGTGGGGGCTGCTGGGGCAGGCGGCGGCCCTGGGCGGCGTGTCTATGCTGGAGCCCAGGCCCCGGGGCGGGCTGTGCGTGTCGCCCCCGCTTCGGCGCCTGGGGATGGCTGCTCCATCAGATCGTAACCGTACTCTGCAAAGGAGCCAGGGGGCGGGGCGTGGGGCAGAGGTCAACCCGGCAATCAGAATGGGTCAGTCCACCCCCAAGCTACGCACTACACACTAGTCTAGGGCACGGTATAGTAAAGCCTTCTTCAGCCAGACTGCGAAATGCAAGCACCAGCTGAGCTCGGACGGCATCCACAGGGGACAGGCTACATCTGTGCAAGCAGGAATCGGAACATTGCGTCCGAGCTGCAGGGGGCGGTGGTGCTAATTACACAGTGAAGCTCGGCAACCTGAAAGTCAAGGCCAGGATTTCAACCTGGGACCACTCCGTTGGGCTTACGACACATTCTTAAGCAGTTCCCATGTTGCCATGATGTCACAGGGCTTCTAATTGGTCTGAAGCACTGAGGCTTGACTGTACCAAATGTACCAGCTCCCTGCAAGCACATGAGGGCCCCCCGGAACGGAACCCAGTCCCATACTGTTACCCACCCCAATCTTCCCAGCAAAGGGATACTTCTAGGAGGCTTTTCTATACCGTTGAACTAGTCATTCGAGAGGAAAAAGTGCATCACTGAACATGCCTCCAGCCATTTGGACAAAACGGGGCCAGTGTCTATCAGGAGGGGGAGTCCTTTTCCTGTCATCAGACTTTCCTGTGTCCCCTTTGAGACCCATTTGATTAATCTGTTAAATGGGCACATTTCTTGCCCACCTTTGAGGGAGGTTCAGTGGGTGTGAAAGCACTCTGAAGATCAAAGGTTTCACCCACCAGAGCCTTTACTGCCCCCATGGAGGTCAGCAAAGACTCTAAGACACTGCGAGGGGAGAGAAGGTTGTAACATCGAGGAGGTGGGAAGGACTGTGACCGTGAGACCAAGTTCAGTGTGGTCAGCAGCACTTTAGATCTTAATGCCACCAGCCAAGCTAAGCACTGCCTGTGGGCACAGGACCAAAGCAGGGTGTTGGAGAAGAAGAGGTATTGAGAAAGAAAGAACAAGAAAGTAGGTGAGGAAAGGAAGAGGAGAGGAAAATAGAGGCAGGAGAAGATACGGCCCCCCCAGAAGGGCCCAGAAGGGAAGGGACGGTGCCTTTGTTATCCAACCACCTCCACTTTCCACTTTCCCTCTCAATTCTACCACCTACCTCAGGACCCGAGCTGTTTGCTCAACTGAATGGAATATGCTGAAAGGAAGCATGGGACTTCTGAAATAAATTCATCAAAGTATGTCCAGAATTTTTGGACTCTATTTGCAAGTACCCATATGTGTGGGTTGGTCCCATGACCTCTCCACCGAGAAAGCAAAGAAAATTACACTTTGAGAATCTGGTTAAGAAAGCAGTGAGAAACTGTCAGGTTTTTTTGTCTTTTCTCTTCTATTTTCCTTTTTCCTATGTATTTAAAACAAATGCATGCTTTGGACTACACCTGTATGTGTAATAAGGCACGGTTCCCTTCTTGGCAGAAAGGTCATGTGACACAACCTGGCCCCCACACGGGGAGTGAAGAAATCAGCAAATGGGCTGCCGCCAGACGAGTGGGTGGAGCCGAGTGTCAACCCCCCCTCCCCCACTTGAGGGGGTGTGAGGTTTCGGTTTATGTAGCACACTTTAAGGAGTATATGAGCTTAAAAAATTTAAATATAACTACTCGGATCTTCCACAGAAAGCAGAGGAGGTGCAAGAACGAGAGAGAGGTTGGAAAACACTTGCCAGTTTGTAACCCTCTCTGCCCTCCATTTATTATTATTATTATTTTAAACAAAAAGCACTGACTTGCCAATATATGTCTTTCTTCCTCCTTCTCTATGTCCCCCACCCCTAAGATGGATTGGTTTACAGCTGGCATTCTTAGGCCAGGTCCCCGAGGGGTGCTCAATATCCCCTTTGGGGAACGGGCCCCAGCAGCCTACGTCTCTCCCTTCTGTCCCCTTGTTTCTCCCACATCAGATACCAATGGGCCTGGCACTAGCAGAAAAAAATGAATCCGTGTTTCCTACCGGCCCATCACCCCCCCAAAGCCGTAATCCGAGATGTGCTCCGTGGGGGACTGCAGGTCGTTTTTGGAGGAGGCCTTGTCGTCCAGCAGCGGCCCACTACTGGCCTCACTATCCGCCTTTTGGCTCAGGCTGTCCGAGAAAGCATCATCCCTGGGGAGAAGGACAGATGTGAATTGGGGGTGCTCCAGAGGACTCAGGATGCACAGGGCTCCGCGAGACCTGTCTGGGGCTGGATCAACATACACCCCAAGGTTAAGTTACTCCCACAGCTCAGGGTGAACCACCTCCCACTCCGCCCCCCCACCACGCATGCCCACTGCTGCGCTCCTAAGTCAGTGTCCCCACCGCCCCATACCTACCTTCTCCTCTCCCCTCCTCTAGGTTCTTCTTCCCTCCCAGGGGCGAGGACAAGCTAAATGCTGGAGGGTGTGTTGAGAAAATGGGGGGAGGACCCTACAAGCTGGGCACTGAGTGCCGAGTCTCCACGTGGCTCCCTGAGAAGCAATTTAGGGCTAAGCAAGGGAGGAAGAAGGTGCTGCTACCCCAGCCCTGCTCACCCAAGGCCTGGGACAACTGTCAGGTGGCTTGAGCTAGTTGGAGTTCCCTGTCGGCCTCCTCCCACTCCCCTCTGCTTCCAGTGCCCTGTCCCTATCCTCAGAGGCCTGGGGACATCAGTGTACCGAGAGCCCTCCATTGTGACGTTCCTCATGGGGTAAACCCATTCATGGACCTCTCTGGCTTCAGACCATCCCTCTGCCACCAAAACTTTGCCTTTGGCCTCCTTCCCTTGAGGTCTAGATTGGTGCCTGTTTCCTCCGTAAATCAGTTCCATCTGAGCCTGAGCAGAGCGCAAACGGAGTGTGTGTCCAGGAACCCTCAATGGCTTTTGAAGAATGGAAGGTGTAGATTTTCTGAGCCTTCTTAGGGCTAGTGTTTGGGATTAAGGGCTTTTTTAAATGCCTAAAATTGTTTAAAAGAAATTAGTACTCATAGATACATAGAACAGATAGGTGGTTGCCAGAGGTGGGCGGTGGGGTAGAGGGAGGTGATATGGATGAAGAGGGTTTAAAGGTACAAACGTTCAGTTATAAAATAAGTAAGTCCTGGGGATGTAATGTATAGCATGTTGACTCTATAGTAATACCGTACTGTATATTTGAAAGTTGCTAAGAGAGCAGATCTTAAAAGTTCTCATCACATATGAAAAAATTGTAATTATGTGTAGTGATGGATGTTAACTAGACTCAATGTGGTGATGATTGTGCAATATATAAAAATATTGAATCATTATGCTGTATACCTGAAATTAATATGTTACATGTCAATTATACCTCAATAAAAAAAAAAATAGTACCCTATCAACTGGAGATGAGGAGATGATTGTTCCTGTCCATCCCGAGAGCACCACCTTGGGGGTGGAGAATGGTGGGCAGTTAAAGGGGTGGTGGGCTGGCCACTGGCTACAGGGAAGACCATGAAGGTGGAGGTATAGGGCAAGATCCACCGGATGCTGAGGACCCTGGTGGCTGGTGAATGGTCTGGGGTCTCAGGTGGGTCGGGATGGAGGCCAAGGGCACCACATGCTGTCTGTGCACTCTAAAGCATGAGCAATTTGCTGATTCGTTAAAAGGATCACCATTAAAGGGGATCTGTTCTTACAGAAAACCAAGGGTATTATATCTGGGACAGCACCTCCCTGCCATACAATCCAGCACTCCCCTTCCTGCGCCAGATCCAGACATCATTAATCGATTATGGTATCTTCCCAGTAGGGTCCAACTCCCACTCACATGTCCTGTACGACTATGTACTGATGTGGGATGAGTCCATCCACGCCGTTGTGACGACCTTCCCACCAGTCCTCTGAGGCACGGTGGTACAGTAGCAGCGAGGCCCCCTTCTTGAAGGACAGCTCACGTGGGGATCGCCCCACGTAGTCAAACTTGGCGATAGCCTCAATCTGTTCCACTTCTGGAAGGAAAGGAAGAAGATAGAGCATCCATAAGGTCAGCAGAAGGGCAGCCCGGGAGCCTTGCTCAGATGGGCCTGCCTCTGTGGGGCAGCACAGACAGCGAGCCTGGTGACAACAGTGTGGGCTGGGGTAGGATACCAAGGTTCGAGGCTCAGCTCCGCTCTCCCACGCTGTGACCTCAGGCAGGCCATTCACTTCTCAAAATGGATGGTGGGGGCCGACATACCATATCCTTATTTTCCAGTGCCCTTTTTGTTCTCCATTTTAAAATCACCTTATTAAAACAATATTATAAGAAATTTATTTTCCTTCTACCCCTTAAAACAAATTCTGTTTCCATTTTCCATAAACCATTTCCCTCTTTGCCCACTTGCAAAGCTTTAGTGGTTCCCACCTTTTGGGAAGTTAAACAGGTGGTGTATGTGGACTCCCACCTACGCAAAACATTGCATACATTTTTAAGGGTTCCCAGAACTCTTTAAGGGTTCCTCAAAGCTCACCATTTTGGACTGAACTGCACTCCCTAAAATCCATATGTTGAAGCCCTCCCCCCCAATGTGATGGTGTTGGGCGACGGGGTCGTTGGGAAGTCACGCAGGTGAAATGAGATCAAAAGCGTAGGCCCCTAATCCGACAGAACTGGTGTCCCTCGAAGGAGGAAGAGGAAGAAACACGGGCGGTCTCGCTCTCGCCCCACATGCACACGGAGGAAAGGCCATGTGAGGACACAGAGAGAAGGCAGCTGTCTACAAGACTTCCCCAGAAACCAACCCTGATGGCACTGGGTCTTGAACGTCTACAGCCCCCAGAGCTGTGAGGAAACACATTTCTGTTGCTTCAGCTACCTGGTCTGTGGTACTGTTACGGCAGCCGAAGCTGACGGATACACTCACCCATGGGCTCAGTGATGGGGAGAGAGAATTCTTTACTGGGGCCACAGGTCAGGCACCTCTCTGCACACGTATATCTACCCATCAGACATTTATTCTTCTCTGGACAGTGACAGGCCCTGACTGGGTCAAACAATGAGGATATGGCCCTCTTACTGCCCAGCTCTGTCACCTTGTCTGGACCTCAGGCAGGTTACAGAACCTCTGTACACCTCAGCTGTAAGAGCTGTGAGGAGGATTAAAAGATGGTACGTGAGCGCTGGCTGGTGGGCTCAGTGGTTGAGCATCGTCTTGTGCACTGAAAAGTTGCTGGTTCGATTTCAGGTCAAGGCACGTGCCCAGGTTGTGGATTCAGTCCCTCCGAGGGGTGTGTGCAGGAAGCAACCGATGAATGTTTCTCACACATCAATCTCATCAATCTCGCTCTCTCTTCCCCCACCCTTTTCCTCTCTCCCTAAAATCAATAAAATCATATTTTTAAAAAAGATAATGCACGAAAGACAGCATAGTAGAGATATACATTAGGTATTCTGTTGACAAGGGCTCTCATGATTATGATTATAATTACTAATGGATTTAGCCCATAGAGTAGGTCCAGATAAGAAATCTAAGCTGCAGAGAGTTTAAGTGGGTTGCCTACGACCACAGGGCTGATGATGTTTGGGGAGGAGACTGTATGGGGAGCAGGAAAGGTATGCCTATGATTGATTTAACCTGTGTTACAGCACTTCATCCTAGGAAGTGCCCATACTTGGTAAAAAATTGTGCATAGGTATCAATGTATTGATATTTTAAAACAAGCACAAAGATGTTTTACATTATACAAGTAATTCGTATAGCTATATTATATTCCAATAGAATAACAGCAATAAAGTGGCCCTTGCCCTCTCTAGCCTGCAGATACATTCCCTATGCTGAGCATCCATGGGACTCCCTGTCTGCTCCACTCCTGTGAATTATCTGTATCTGTCCACCCAGCCATGTGTCTGTCCATCATGGAGGTAAGGCCAGAACACCTGGCTTTGCAGCTTTTCGGATGTGTGACCTTAAGCAACTTAGTTCTCCTTTCTAAGCCTCAGTTTTCTCATCTGTAGAATGGGAATGAATAATAATACCTATACCTTATTGAGTTGTTATGAGGATTAAATGGGCTGCTATACATGACGTGCTCGCAGCAGTGTAGGCATAGAGTTAATTCACTCGAGAGTTAGTTGTCACCAGAGCTGATGCACTTTTAAGGGCCAGGGCAGTATGGGAAATCAAAGAGCAGAGGGAGGAAAGCCCTTTGTTCACCTTTCCCATGAGCCCCCACCACACACATGTGCTGTCTCTGCAAGGAGCTGGCTCGGGAGGACTGTGTCCGTGCCCCCATGAGATGCAGTTGTCTTTGGAAGCACACAGTCCTGGGACGGTTTTCCGCCGGGAGGGGGCCTCAGACAGTTAAGTTAGCTTTTTCCAGCTGGCTCCCTGACAAATGTCGTTAAATGCATTTTGCCTAACAGTTGAGGCAAAATGACAGCACAACTAAATGGGTCACATAACGCAGATCCTGACTCAAGAGTCACCTTCGCAGGAAAGTGGGGAGATCTCCATTCTTCTCTGGTGCACCTTTGACCCCGCCGCCCAGCCCTGGGCTCCCGCTGCCTGCCAGCCCAGCTACAGAGACCAGAGAGGCCAGAGGGTTTGAGACCAGGAGCAGAACCGGCTGGCTGCAGCTCTCTTGGCTTCCACCCCAGGGCATCCTTTGAGCTGACTCAGCTGATAAAGCAGCTGACCTGGGCAGAGGTGTGCTCATGCTTAGAGGAGCACCAAGGGGCTGCTTCAGGTTTCAGAGCCTCCTGCAGTCACTGGGGGCAGTCTGGTGCGGGGGCTGGGGGTGGTGAGGCAGAGGAGTAATGGAAAATGTAAGAGAAAGAAAGGAAGAACACTGGAGGGGCGGAGCCGAGCCACAGCGGAGGGAACATGTATGTGTGCAGATGTCATTACATAAGCGTGTGTGGTAGGAAGAGTAATACTAGCTGCTAGTTATTAAGAAATCCATTATTTGGGTTTATCATACCTAAAATAAAATATGTGATCCTCCCCTGTCCCGCTCTCCCACACACCCCTCTCCACACTTAATTCCCTCATCTTCCCAATTAGGAAACAGAGCCGCCCGCTCGCCCGCTCAGGCCAAAGCCTTGCAGTTGCTCTTGTGTGGCCCACATCGAATCCAACAGCAACCCTTCGCGAGTCCCCTGAGTGACTAGTCACCACCTCCAGTGCCACTGTCATCCCTCTACCTGGCCTCTTTCCTTTCATCCTTACTCGGGGAGCCATCTCTCCCCGCAGCAGCCAGAGGGACTTTTCAAGACTTGGAGAGTATTATGCTAAGTGATATAAGCCAGTCAGAGAAAGACCAGTACCACGTGATTTCACTTACCTGTGAAATCTAGTGAACAAGACAATCTCACAAATAAAGTGGAGACAGATTCATGGAGGCAGAGAACAGACTGACAGCTGTCAGAGCAGAGGGGGTTGGAGGCCGGGTGAGAAGGGTGAAGGGATTAAGCAAAGAAAAGACAGGACTCATGGACACAGACAATATGGTGATGGCCAGAGGAAAGGCGTTGGGAGGTAAAACAAGGGAAAGGGGGTATAAATGGTGACAGAAGGAGAATTGGCTTGGGGTGGTAAACACACAATGCATTATACAGAAGAGGTATTGTAGAACTGTATACCTGAAACCTGTATACTTTTTTATTAACCAATGTCACCCCAATAAATTCAATTAAAAAATCATAAATCAGATCATGAAACTATCTTGTTCAAATCCTTTGGAAGGCTTCCCATTGTGCTGGGAACAAAACCCAAATGTCTTCCCATAATTCCTGAGGACCTCCACGCTCTGGGCCCTGGAGGCCTCTGTAGTCTCGGGTCTCCCTGCTTCCGTCTGCTCCAGCTCACTAGCCTTCTTGCTGTGTCTCCTCCAACATCATAGTATGACATTTTTTTCAAACACAAAGAAAAGCTAAAAGAACTTTACAGTGAACACACATATACCCACCACCTAAATTCTACTATTCACATTTTACTACACTAACTTTATTGCATATGTATCCATCCCTCTATCCATCTATTCTTAATCCTTACTGGAGGATATGCTTATCAGTTTTAGAGATGGAGAGGAAGGGACTGAGAGAGACTGAGAGACAGACAGAAACATTGATTGGTTGCCTCCTGTATGCACCCTGCCTGGGCATCAAACCCACAACCTAGGTATGTGCCCTGACTGGGAATTGAACCTGCAACCTTTTGGGGCACAGGATGACTCTCCAATCAACTGAGCCACCTAACCAGGGCCATCCATCTTACCTTTTCAAATAAATTTTAAAGTAAGTTGCAGACATCAATACACATTACCCCAATCACAACGGCACACACATTCACAGAGCCCTCTTAGTGCTTTTCGAACAGGCCACACTTTTTCCTGCCACAGGGCCTTTCTACTTGCTACTGCCTCTTCCTGGGGTGCGTTCTCCCAGACCTTTGCATGCACTCACACTCATTGCGTATTTGCTGACCACTGTGTGTCATTTTCTAAATTCGTTCAGGTCTGTACTCAAACGTCCTTGCTCAGCAAGGCCTTTCCCGACCACCCACAACAAAAGCACCAACTGCACATCACTCGAAAGCCTTCTCCTGCTTTATTCTTCTGCACAGCACTTATCACAACCCAAACTTACGTCGTGCGCATGCGTGCACTCGCGCACACAGGCACATGTAGTTTTCGAACGTGTTTAATGTCGATCATTCCTACTAAAATGTGAGCTCCATTAGAACGAATTTTATCTTATTTCCTGCTGTTTTCCCACTTTTGGACCAGACCCTGAAATGAGCGGGCATTCGACGCATATTTGGTACTTGCGTGAACAAATGAAGTTTTTCTAGGTGCTAAGTGTTCTCCTTACAGTATCACATCTAATCCTCACATATCTCTGCACTGTCCTCATTTCACAGACGAGGAAACTGAGGCTGAGTAGAAATGAACTGTCACATCGGGAGTGAGTCACACAGTAGAGAGTGGTGAGCTGATAAGTTAGCCCAGGCCCCAGGTATCATTAATAAAG